AGCTGCAGGAGAAGCTTCGGAGCCTCGCCTCGACTCCGAGCTCCGGGAAGGCCACCGAGGGGCAGGACCCCCACCCAACACCTGGGAACCCCCAAAATCTGACCCTGGGGCTCCCAAAACCTGACCCTGAGACACCCCAAAATCTGAGCCTGAGACCCCCAAAACCTGATCCTGAGACCCCCAAAACCTGACCGTGAGACCCCCTAAAATCTCACCCTGAGACCTCTCAAAATCTGAGCCTGAGACCCCCAAAACCTGACCCTGAGACACCCTCAAAATCTGAGCCTGAGACCCCCAAACCCTGACCCTGAGACCTCCTAAAATGCCCCAAATCCCCCCAAACCCCTCATTTCCCGAAACCCCCGTGATCCCTTCCGAGCCCCCTGACCTCCCCCAAACCCCTCTGTGAACCCCCCAAACCCCCAAATCCCCCAAACCCCTCTGTGACCCCCCCCAAACCCCTCTATGACCCCCCAAGCCCCCAAATCCCCCCAAACCCCTCTGTGCCCCCCCAGAGGCTGCAGTTCCCGCAGGGAATTCCGCCTGCGGCGCCGACGCCCTTCGCTTGGCCCTGCTGTCCCAGAACTGCCACGGTAGCAAACCCCCTTGAGAGGGGGGTAAAAAGGGGGTCCCTGAGCCCCCTCCCCCACCCTCAGGGCTCTGGGTGTGTTTGGGACCCCCCCCAGGAGCCGAAATCCGGGTGGACGTGGGGGAGGTGCTGAGTCAGCGCCGCTTCTGCAACAAGGTGTGGAACGGGCTGCGCTTCGTCCTGGGGGTCCTGGGGGACCTGGGGGGGCAGTTCAGGCCCCCCCACCCTGAGCAGGTAAAAGGGGAGGGGGAAAGGGGACCCTCAGGGACCACCCAGAGCTCGCTGGGACCACCAGGGAGCCCCCAGAACCCACAGGGACCCTCAGAACCCACAGGGACCCTCAGAACCCACAGAGATCACCAAGTGCCCTCAGGGACCCCCAAAACCCTCAGGGACCCCCCAGAACCCACAGGGATCCCCCAGAATCCAGAGGGACCCCCCAGAACCCACAGGGACCCCCCAGAATCCAGAGGGATCCCTAAAATCCAGAGGGACCCCCAGAACCCACAGGGACCCCCAGAATCCAGAGGGACCTCCTCAGAACCCACAGGGACCCCCAGAATCCACAGAGACCCCCCAGAACCCACAGGGACCCCCCAGAACCCACAGGGACCCCCAGAACCCACAGGGACCCCCAGAATCCAGAGGGACCCTCAGAATCCAGAGGGACCCCCAGAACCCACAGGGACCCCCCAGAACCCACAGAGACCCCCCAGAATCCACAGGGACCCCCAGAACCCACAGGGACCCCCCAGAACCCACAGGGACTCCCAGAACCCACAGGGACTCCCAGAATCCAGAGGGACCCTCAGAATGCAGAGGGACCCCCAGAATCCACAGAGATCACCAGGGACCCCCCCAGAATCCACAGGGACCCCCCAAAACCCACAGGGACCCCCAGAATCCAGAGGGACCCCCCAAGAGCTACAGGGACCCCCAGAACCCACAGAGGTCACCAGGGACCCCCCAGAATCCCCTGTTCCCATTCCAGGTGGTCGCAGGTGATCCCCTGGAGCGCTGGGTGCTGTTTGATCCCATCCCAATCCCATCCCAATCCCATCCCAATCCCATCCCAATCCCATTCCAGGTGGTCCCAGGTGATCCCATGGAGCGCTGGGTGCTGTTTGATCCTCTCCAATGCCATCCCAATCCCATCCCAATCCCATTCCAGGTGGTCCCAGGTGATCCCATGGAGCGCTGGGTGCTGTTTGACCCCCCCAATCCCATGTTGATCCCATTCCAGGTGGTCCCAGGTGATCCCATGGAGCGCTGGGTGCTGTTTGACCCCTCCAATCCCATCCCAATCCCATCCCAACCCCATGTTGATCCCATTCCAGGTGGTCCCAGGTGATCCCATGGAGCGCTGGGTCCTTTCCCGCCTGGCTGGGGCCGTCTCCGAGTGCAGCCACCGCTTGGATTCCCTGGAATTCCACGGGGCCCTGGCGGCCGTGCAGCACTTCTGGCTCCGCAGCTTCTGCGACGTCTTCCTGGTGGGTGAGACCCCCAAAATCCCCCCCTTTCCTGGGGGGGGGTCTCCAGCCCCTTTTGGGGCTCCTGGGTGGTCCCAGATCCCCCTTTTCCATGTGTCGTGTTCCCATTTTTGGGGGTCCCTGTCCCTGTCTTTGGGGGGAGTCCTTTGTGCCTGTTTTGGGGGTCCCACCCCGCATTCTGGGCGTTCTTGTGCCCATTTTGGGGGTCCCTATGCCCATTTTAGGGGTCCTAGCCCCCATTTTTGGGGTCTCTGTGCCCATTTCTGGGGGTCCCTCTGCCCATTTTTGGGGGTCCCAGCCCCCATTTTAGGGTCTCTGTGCCCATTTCTGGGGGTCCCTGTGCCCATTTGGGGGGTCCCAGCTTCCATTTTGAGGGGTCCCAGCCCCCATTTTAGGGGTCCCAGCCCCCATTTTAGGGTCTCTGTGCCCATTTCAGGGGTCCCTGTGCCCATTTCAGGGGTCCCAGCCCCCATTTAGGGGTCCCAGCCCCCATTTTAGGGATCCCATCCCCTATTTTAGGGATCCTAGCCTCCATTTTAGGGGTCCCAACCCCCATTTTAGAGTCTCTGTGCCCACTTCTGGGGGTCCCTGTGCCCATTTCTGGGGGTCCCTGTGCCCATTTTAGAGGTCCCAGCCCCCATTTTAGGGATCCCAGCCTCCATTTTGGGGGTCCCAGCCTCCATTTTGGGGGGTCCCAGCCCCCATTTTAGAGTCTCTGTGCCCATTTCAGGCATCTCTGTGCCCATTTCTGGGGGTCCCTGTGCCCATTTTTGGGGTCCCAGCCCCCATTCCGGGGGTCCCTGTGCCCCCCCCCCTCACAGCTCTCTCCCTGTTTTCCTAGGAGGCCTCCAAGGTGTCCGTGCGGGGCCCGGGGGGGTCCCCGGGGGTGCTGGTGGTCTGTGCTGAGCTGGGGCTGCGGCTCCTGGGCCCCTTCGCCCCCTTCGTGGCCGAGGAGCTCTGGCAACGCCTGCCCCGCCCGCCCCCCGCGCCCCACCCTCTGCAGGGCCTCCTTCCCCGACCCACGGGCACTGGTGGGTCTGGGGAGGGGGTCCTGGAGTTTTGACCTTGGGATGGGTCTGGGGTTGGTTCTGAGGGCTTTGACCTCAGAGGATGGGTCTGGGGGTTGGTTCTGGGGGTTTCACCACGGGATGGGTCTGGGGGTTCCTTTGGGGATTTGTCTGAGGGTCCTTGGGGCTCTGTGGGGTCCCTGGGGGTTTCATTCAGAGCTGGGTCTGTGGGGTCCTGGGGGTTTCATCTCAGGGCTGGGTCTGTGGGGGTCCCTGGGGGTTTCCATTTGGGGCTGGGTCTGGGGGTCCCTGGGGCCCTGAGGGGGTTTCTATTTGGGGCTGGGTCTGTGGGGGTCCTGGGGGTTCCATTCAGGCTGGGTCTGGGGGTCCCTGAGGGGCTTTCCATTTGGGATGGGTCTGGGGGTCTCTGGGGGCCCTGAGGGGATTTCCATTTGGGGCTGGGCTGTGGGGTCCCTGGGGGTCCCTGGGGGGTTTCCATTTGGGGCTGGGTCTGGGGGGGGGCCTGGAGGGGTTTCCATTTGGGGCTGGGTCTCTGGGGTCCCTGGGGGCTCTGGGGGTTTGACCTCGGGGATGGGTCTGGGGGGGTTTCCATTCAGGATGGATCTCGGGGGCCTCATCCCACACGCTCCCTCTTGCCTCCTCCAGGAGCTCCGACATCCCCTTTGGGCGTGGAGGGTCTTTGGGGTGGGTCCCTGAGGCCGTTCCACCCCTCTGACCCCCCTTTGTGCCCCCCCAGGCCCACTGGCGCTGCCCCGAGGCTGAGGCCCAGGTGTCGGCCATGCTGGAGGTGGTTCGGGTGCTGAGGGGGCTCCGCGAGACCTTCCGGCTCGGGGGGACCCGGCCCCAGGGTGAGTGGGGGGCCCGGGAGGGGACCACGAGTCCCAGCGTGCCCCGGGGCAACAAATACGACCACCAGAGTGTGTGTGGGGGACTACAAATCCCAGCGTGCCTTAGGAAGACAAGATGGCCGCCACTGTGAGGGACTCCAAGCCCCGGGGTGCTTTGGGGGCATTTAAAATGGCCGCCATGAGGGGGACTACAACTCCCAGCGTGCCCTGGGGCAGCAAATATGGCTGACAGCATGTGGGGGGGGACTACAAATCCCAATGTACCTTAGGGGGGAGGACAAGATGGCCACCACTGTGAGGGACTCCAAACCCCCAGGGTGCTTTGAGGGGAAAAAAAAAAAATTCCAAAAGGACCTAAAAGTCCCAGCATGCCCTTGGCCCTTCCAAAATTGCCGCCAGGCCGTAACTACAAGTCCCAGCATGCCTTGGGGGGGGGGGGAAACACACAAAATGGCTGCCACTGTGAGGGACTCCAAACCCCAGGGTGCTTTGGGGGTATTTAAAATGTCTGCCATGAGGGGGACTACAACTCCCAGCATGCACTGCGAGAGCCAAGATGGCCGTCACCCGCCACTGCAAGTCCCATGGTGCACCTGCTCATCCCCCCACAAGATGGCGGCCCTCATGGGGGTGGCCATCTTGGCTGCCCTGGTGCATGCTGGGAGTTGTAGTCCCCTCGAGGCAGCCATCTTGGTGGGCGTGTCCAACCCTTTTTCCCCTCCCCCCAGTGCTGGTGCGGTGCCCGGAGCAGACCCGGGATTGGCTGCAGGAGCTCGGCCCCGCCTTCCGGGCGCTGTCGGGGGCGGGGTCTGTGCGGTTCCTCCCCCTGGGGGCGGAGCCGGGCCCGGGCTGGGCGGCGGCTCCCGCGGGGGAGCAAACCTGGGCCTACCTGGGCCTGCAGGTGAGGGGCGGGGCCTGGGTTGAGGGGGCGGGGCCTGGGCTGAGGGGGTGTGGCCATGGATGAGGGGGTGTGGCCATGGCCGAGGGGGCGTGGCCAGGGGGGATTTTGGGGTGTGAGGGGAGGTCTGGGGGGGGTCCCCAAAAGCCTCCCGGGACACTGAGGGGGTCCCTTGGATTCCCCTCTCCCCGGGCCCTGAGGGGTTTTGGGACCCCCTGAGCGGGGGGAAGGGGGGACATGTGAGGCCCTTGGGGGGCTCTGGGGACACTTGGGGGGCTCTGGGGACATTTGGGGACCCCCTCCCTGTCCCCACAGGGCCTGGCAGACCCCGGCACCACCCGGGAGCAGCTCCGGGCCCGCGCCCTCCGCGTCCGGCGGCGCCTCCAGAGCCTGGGGGGGTCCCCGGGGGGCTCCGACCCCACCCCCGGCTCCTCCACCCAGCACCAGGTACCGCCCCCTCATTAGGATAATCAGGGGTTAATTAGGGGGTTAATTAGGGGGTGAATAAGCTTCTCTCAGGGGGAGGGGGGAGGGGTCTTTGACCTCCTTAATGAGGGAGGGGCGGCCTAATTAGCGCTGCCCTAATTAACTCCTAATTGGGTTCTTTCTAAGTCCTAATTAATTTGTGTTTAACTCTTAATACCGTATTAACTCCTAATTAACTAACGCCTTTATTCTCAAATCACTCTTAATTAATCCTAATTAACTCTTAACTAAATCTGAGTTAATGCCTTGTTAACTCCTTATTAAGTCCTTTTTGGCTCCTTTTTAACTTCTTAATAACTCTTAATTAACACCTTGTTAGCTTTCAATTAACTCTTAATTGGTACATTATTATTCCTAACTAGCTCCTAATTAACTCCTTAATAACTCTTAATAAAATTCACGTTAATTTTAGTTCTAATTAACTCCTTATTAACTTCTAATTAACTCTTAATTAACTCATGAATTCTTAATTAATTGTTAATTAGCTTTCACTGCTAGATTAACTCCTAACTGCTGTTAATTAGTGCTAATTAGGGTTAATTTTTCTCTTGCAGGTGTCCATCCTGATGGCCGAGCTGTCCCGCCTGGAACGAGCCCTGGTGGCCCTGGAGACCCTCGGGGACCCCCCCGGGACCCCCCCAGGGGACCCCCCAACCCCCTCGAGTCAATAAAACCCCTCTTAATTAACCCTTGCCTCGTTAGCGCTCATTAAGGGCTGGGAGGGGGCGTGGCTTTGGGAGGAGGGGGCGTGGCTTTGGGAAGAGGGGGCGTGGCTTTGGGAGAGGGGGCGTGGCTTGGGAGGACCCCAGGGAAGTGAGAGAACCCCCCCCCAAAATGCCGTTAATTACCCCACAAACTTCGTTAGCGCTAATTAAGGAGGAGCCCTTTAATAAGGGGCGGGGCTCAGTGAATGGGCGGGGCTTGGGAAAAGGGGCGTGGTTTCTTCGTCAGGCCCCGCCCCCTCCCAATTGGGTCGCCAGAAAGCGGCGGGAGCTGCTGGGATCCCCAAAACCCCCCCCAAAATTGGGCTGAGAAACCCCAGAATTGGGGGCTGGGACCCCAAACAGGGCTCGGAGACCCCAAAATCGGGCTCAGAGACCCCAAAATCGGGCTCTGACACCCCAAAATCGAGCTGGGGGCCCCCCCGGTGGCCTCCCCCTCCCCACCATGTGGTGACCAGAGTTGGGACCTTCCGAGCCAAGACCTTTCTCCGGAGCTGAGCACCAGGCCCCCTCACCTGCTGTCACCTGCTGTCACCTGCGGCCACCTCAGGTACTGGCACCTCCTCCCACCCCCGTGTGTCCCCCATGTCCCCCCGTGTCCTCCTTGTCCCAAATGTCCCCTCTGTGTCCCTTTGTGTCCCCAATGTCTCCTCATTGTCCCTGAATGTCCCCCCATGTCCCCAATGTCCCCTCCTCAATGTCCCCCCAATGTCCCCTCAATGTCCCCCAATGTCCCTTCAATGTCCCCCAATGTCCCTCAATGTCCCCCCAATGTCCCCCAATGTCCCCTCAATGTCCCTTCAATGTCCCCCAATGTCCCTTCAATGTCCCCCCCAATGTCCCTTCAATGTCCCCTCAATGTCCCCTCAATGTCCCCCATGTCCCTCCAATGTCCCTCATGTCCCCTCAATGTCCTCTCAATGTCCCCTCCCAATGTCCCTCCTCCCTCAATCTCCCTCCATGCTCCATGTCCCCTCATGTCCCCAATGTCCCCCAATGTCTCCCACGTCCCCCACTGACCCCTCTCTGTCCCCCCCCTCAGGTCCCTCCCATGGCCCAGGGGGGCCCCTCCCCTGCTGTCCCACCGTGTCCCCTCCCCGGGGAGGTGACGGGGGACCCTCCCAGGGACCCCCCGTGCTGGGACCACGGGGGGGTCCCCACGGTCACCGTCACCCCCTGGGCCAGCGGCATCACCATCACCGTGACGGCGGCGCCCGCCCCGGAGCGCGGGGACAGCGGGGACAGCGGGGACAGCGGGGACAGGGAGGAGCCTGGGGACAGCCAGGACCTTGGGGACAGCCGGGACGCTGAGGACATCGGGGACATCGGGGACATTGGAGGCACCGAGCACCTTGGGGACATCGGGGACATCAAGGACCTTGGGGACATCGGGGACGTTGGAGGCACCAAGGACATCAAGGACCTTGGGGACATCAAGGACATCAAGGACCTTGGGGACATCGGGGACATCAAGGACCTTGGGGACATTGGGGACATCAGAGGAGTCAAGGACATCAAGGACCTCGAGGACATCAAAGACCTTGGGGACATCAAAGACCTTGGGGACATCAAGGACCTTGGAGGGGACATTGGGGACATCAAGGACCTCGAGGACATCAAAGACCTTGGGGACATCGAGGACCTTGGGGGGGACATTGGGGACATCAAGGACCTCGGGGACATCGAGAATATCAGGGACATCAAGGACATGGGGGACACCAAGGACCTCGGGGGGGACATTGGGGACATCAAGGACCTTGGGGACATCAAGGACCTTGGGGACCTCGGGGACATCGAGGACCTCGGGGACTTGAGGGACCCTGGGGATGTTTGGGACGTTGGGGACATCGGGGATGTCCCCTCCCTGAGGGACATCAAGGACAAGAATGTCCCAGACCTTGGGGACAGGGATGTCCCCTCCCCAAGGGACACTGGGGACAGGGAGGAGGGTGACAAGGATGTCACAGTTCCAAAGGACATCAGGGACTTTGGGGGCTTCAGGGACACTGGGGACAGGGATGTCCCAGACCTTGGGGACAGGGATGTCACAGCCCTGAGGGACTTTTGGGACAGGGATGGCAGTGACAGGATGTCACCACCCCAAGGGACGTCGGGGAGAGGGGTGTCCCAAACCTTGGGGACAGGGATGTCCCAGCTCCTGGGGACATCAGGGACAGGGGGTACAGGGGTGTCACCGCCCTGAGGAACATCTGGGACAGGGATGTCACCACCCCAGGGGGCACTGGGGACAGGGATGTCCCAAACCTTGGGGACAAGGACACTGGGGACAAGGATGTCACCACCCTGAGGGACACTGGGGACAGGGATGTCCCAAACCTTGGGGACAAGGACATTGGGGACAGGGATGTCCCAAACCTTGGGGACAAGGACATTGGGGACAGGGATGTTGGGTACAGGGGTGTCACCGCCCTGAGGGACATCTGGGAAAGGAACATTGGGGACACCGGGGACAGGAATGTCCCCACCCCAAGGGACAATGGGGACAGGGATGTCCCAAACCTCGGGGACAGGGGTGTCACCTCCCCAGGGGACACTGGGGACAGGGACACCGGGGACAGGGGGGACGTGGGGACAGGGACGTTGGGTACAGGGGGGTCACCGCCCTGAGGGACATCTGGGAAAGGAACATCGGGGACAGGGATGTCCCAAACCTCAGGGACAGGGGTGTCACCACCCCGAGGGACATCAGGGACACTGGGGACAGGGGTGTCACCACCCTGAGGGACATCAGGGACATTGGGGACAGGGGTGTCACCACCCCGAGGGACATCAGGGACACTGGGGACAGGGGTGTCACCACCCTGAGGGACACTGGGGACAAGGACAGGGACACTGGGGACAGGGGTGTCACCACCCCCAGGGACATCAGGGACACTGGGGACAGGGGTGTCACCACCCTGAGGGACACTGGGGACAAGGACAGGGACATTGGGGACAGGGGTGTCACCACCCCGAGGGACATCAGGGACACTGGGGACAGGGGTGTCACCACCCCGAGGGACATCAGGGACACTGGGGACAGGGATGTCCCAGTTCATCCCAGCAAGGATGTTGGGGACAGGGATGTCACCACCCCGGGGGACATCAGGGATGTTGGGGACACACAAGCCTCGGCCCTGAGTGACGCTGGGGACGTTGGGGACAGGGATGTCCCAGTCCCAGGGGACACCTGGGTCCAGGATTTTGGGGACACGCCCCCGAGGGACACTGGGGACAGGGACAGCCCAGCCCCTGGGGACAAGGATGCCACCACCCCAAGGGACATCTGGGACAGGGATGTGACAGTCCCAGGGGGTGCTGGTGACGAGGAAAGGAATGTGGGGGACGCTGGGGACAGGGATGTCCCCACCTCCAGGGACACTGGGGACAAAGACAAGGACCTTGGGGACACTGGGGACAGGGATGTCCCCAACTCCAGGGACATTGGGGACAAAGACAGGGACCCTGGGGACACTGGGGACAGGGATGTCCCCACCCCAAGGGACATCGAGGACATTGGGGACATTGACAGTGACGTCACCACCCTGGGTGCCACCGGTGCCACCCTCCGGGCTGGTGGCATCACCATCACCGTGGTGGCCCCGCCCCCCGAGGATGACGTCACCGACGATGACGTCACTGATGATGACGTCACTGCTGGGCAGGGCGGTGACGTCACCGGTGACGTCACCGAGGGCGGGGACAGCCCCGCCCCTTCCCCCCCGGGTGTCCCCACCAGTGACGTCATTGGGTCCCCCCTACCTGGTGACGTCACGGACGGGGCTGGTGATGACGTCACTTCCCGCGGAGCAGGCGATGACGTCACCGCCGATCTCGTTGACGGCGATGACGTCACTTCCTTTAGCCTGGAGGGACCCCCCGCTGGTGACGTCATCACGGGGAATGACGTCATCGCTGGGAGTGACATCATCATCTCCACCGCTGGGGACGACAGTGCTGATGACGTCATCAACCACGGGGGTGACGTCACTGATGACATCATCGTGTGGGGCGATTTCGCCGGTGACGTCATCGCCAACAGGCGTGACATCGCGATGACGTCATGGCTGGGATGGGCCTCCACGTGGATGACCTCAGCGATGACATCATTGCCGGCCACGACACGGATGACGATGACGTCATCGCAGGACAGGCGCTGGGCGATGATGTCACCGCCGAGAGCGACACCACCGATGACGTCACCATAGGACACGACGTCGACGATGACGTCACCACGGGACACGACATCACCTATGACGTCACCACCTCCGAGAGCGACACCACGGATGACGTCATCGACCACGGCTTCCCCGATGACGTCATGGGCGGGGACAGCTTTGCCGATGACGTCATTGCCTGGCGCGATGTCACGCCCCCGCTCCCGGAGGAGCCCCTGGATGACGTCACACCTGGGTATGACATCACCGATGACGTCATCACGAGTGACACCCGCCCTGCTGACGTCATCACTCGCCGCCGCCTCCCCTCCCTTCCCGACGATGACATCGCCGATGACGTCATCCCCGAGGGGCACCTCGTTGATGACATCATCCACCGTGGTGACCTCGTTGATGACGTCACGGCCGGAGACGACCTCCTCGATGACGTCACGGGAGACGACGATGACGTCATGTTCCCGGGGCTGGGGCCCTACCCCGCCGATGATGTCATCACCACCGATGACATCACATCCTCCCTGCTCGGCGATGACGTCACCGCCTGGGACGACCTCGCCGATGACATCACGGCTGATGGTGATGATGTCACACCCTTCCTTCCCCGGGGGGGCGACGTCACCCCCCCAGGCCACGCCCCTGGCTCCGATGATGACATCACTGGTGACATCAGCGAGGGGGCGGAGCAGCCGCTGCTCAGGGCCCCGCCCAGCCGTGATGTCACCGATGACGTCACGGACGACGCGGCCCCAGAGGGCGTGGCAGGTGAGAGGAGGGGGTGGAGCCACCAGGGAGTGGGCGTGGCCTGGGCTGACCACGCCCCTCTGCGTTTGCCCCGCCCTCAGACGCCTCCGGGCGCCCCGGCTGCCCCCTCGTCTTCCTCGCCTCGTTTGTCTCCCTGCTCGCTCCTCCTCCTCGCCGGCATCGCCGCGGCAACCGCGGAGAAAGGGGCCAAAATCCCTGAGGCCAAAATCCTGGGGGCCAAATCCTGGGGGCCCAAATCCTGGGGCAACAGGGGCCCCAAATCCGAGTGGAGCCCCAAATCCCAGGGAGGGGGCAAAGGGGGTCCCAAAATCCTAGGGGGCCCAAATCCCAGGGGCAAAGGGGGCCCCCAAATCCTGATGGGGCCCCAAATCCCAGGGGAGAGGGGAAAAGGGGTGTCCCCAAATCTCTGGGAGCACTGGGGAGGCACTGGGTGGGGAGGGTCCTGCACAGCTGGGTCCCCTTTGGGGGTCCTGGGGTCTCATGGGGAGGGTGTCCCTTAAGGAGGGTGGTCATGAGGGGGTTGGGACACTGGGTCCCCTCTGGGAGGTCCTGGCTCCTGGGGGCCTGGGGGTCTTGGGGGTCTCAGGGGGTCCTGACCCCCTCCCGTCCCCCCAGGCCGTGCATTACGTGAAGGTTTTCATCATCAGCTCCTCCCTCTCCGCGCCCGTGGCCGAGTCCTTCCCGTGACCCTCTGGGGTGGGGGGGCTGTGACACCCCCTGTCACCCCCTCTGTCACCTCCTGTCACCTCCTGTCACCCCCTGTCACCTCCTGCCACCCCCTGTCACCTCCTGTCACCCCCTGTCACCTCCTGTCACCCCCTGTCACGCCCTTCACCCCCTGTCACCCCTGTCACCTCCCATCACCCCCTGTCACCCCCTGTCACCTCCCATCACCCCCTTGTCACCCCACCCTGTCACCTCCTGTCACCCCCTGTCACCCCCTGTCACCTCCTGTCACCTCCCATCACCCCCTGTCACCTCCTGTCACCTCCCTGTCACCCCCCTGTCACTCACTGTCACCCCCTGTCACCCCCTGTCATCCCTGTCACCCCTGTCACCTCCTGTCACCCCCTGTCACCTCCCGTCACCCCCTGTCACCTCCCATCACCCCCCTGTCACCTCCTGTCACCTCCTGTCACCCCCTGTCACCCACTGTCACCCCCTGTCACCCCTCTGTCACCTCCTGTCACCTCCTGTCACCTCCGTCACCCCTCTGTCACCCCCTGTCACCCTCTGTCACCCCCTGTCATCTCCCATCACCCCCTCTGTCACCCCCTGTCATCTCCCATCACCCCTCTGTCACCTCCCTGTCACCCCTGTCACCTCCCATCACCCCCTGTCATCCCCTGTCACCTCCTGTCACCTCCCATCACCCCTCTGTCACCTCCCTGTCACCCCCTGTCACCTCCTGTCCCCTCTGTCACCTCCCTGTCACCCCCCTGTCACCTCCCGTCACCTCCCTGTCACCCCCCTGTCACCTCCTGTCACCTCCCATCACCCCCTGTCACCTCCTGTCACCCCCTGTCACCTCCTGTCACCTCCCATCACCCCTGTCACCCTCCTGTCACCCCCTGTCACCTCCTGTCACCTCCTGTCACCCCCTGTCACCCCCTGTCACCTCCCCATCACCCCCTGTCACCTCCTGTCACCCCTCTGTCACCCTTGTCACCCCTCGTCACCTCCCATCACCCCTGTCACCTCTCATCACCTCTGTCACTCCCCTGTCACCCCTGTCACCTCCTGTCCCCTCTGTCACCTCCTGTCCTCGCTGTCCCCCCTGCCACCCCCTGTCCCACATAATGCCCTCCAACTCCCCACGGCTGCTTTGGCGACCGCGCGGTCACGGCCGGTGGCCACGGGCGGGTCCGGGCTTGTCACGGCGGGCTCGGGGACAAAAGGGGACAATTGGGGACAATCGTCACCTCGGGGACACCGCGGGGGGGACACAACACACCTGGCGACATTGGGGACACCGTGGGGAGGGTTTGGAGACACCGGAAGGATTTGGGGACCCTGCGCGACAGGGGTGGGCTTGGGGGACACGGGGGACATCGGGGGAGTTTGGGGACCCCAGGGACGGTTTGGGGACATCGGGGACCCCTGGGGGACGAGGGGGTTGGGGACGCAGGGCCCGCCATTGTCCCCCCCGGGTTGTCACGGGGACAGGCCACCCCCCCTTTCCCCACCTGCGGGACGTCCCTGTCCCTGCACCCATAAATTGGGGACGCCGGAGCTGAGGGGCGCTCGGCCAGCGCCGGGAGGTGACAATAGGGACACTCGCCGTGGCCCTGGGGACGCTGCTGCTGCTGGGGGTGAGGGGACACTGGGGGACATTGGGGGCATTGGGGGACATTGGGACATTGGGGACATTGGGGACATTGGGGGACACTGGAGGACATT